GATCTTTTAACGTATTGTTGAAAGAAATCGGTCCAGTGAGAGCTGAGAAAAAGTGGCAACAGACATAAAAAAAAAAAAAACACATCATAGTAAAATTAATACCTACTCAGCTTCGCATCGAAGCTAAAATATTAAAATCATAATTTCTATAATATTATGTGATTATTTAATTAATTTTTGGAATTAGTTACTTTATTGTTAAATGTACTATAAAATTTGTTAGTTCTTCTTTTATGAATGATTAATTCCGTTATAGCAATCCGTTTTGCATTTTCACCTATGTGTGGTAATTTAATTCTAACTAAACTCTTCACATTTACTACAAGAATCTACTTGTGGGGTTATCCGAATTTTAAATTAAGATTTTCCTGAAATAGTTAAAATAATAGGTATGACTAGGGTGATATTGTCACGTTACTAATATTGTAAAACATTTTTATGAAATAAAACACAACACATCCGCTACTAGCGACTGATGAATTGACAAAATATAATTTTAACATTTTCTGGATATTTCATACAGCCAATATTATATGGCGAAGGACCTTTTCAAAACAAAATAATGTGTTTACATAAGTATATAAATTATTTACCTTAAAACGAATATTGTCAAATATGTTACTTAAGTTCCTTTTAAAAAATGCACATTCAAATATACTGTATTAGTTTTTTTCATAACGTAATCAACTATGTACAATATGTATTTATTTAATTGTAAATACTGTTTCTCATCTTTCACTAATTGTGTTTTGTCGTAGGTTAATAATTATTTTAATTAATATTATTTACTGAACCATATTTTTGCTTAGACAAACAAAACAGATATCTTGGGTTTAAAATTTATGATCTTGGCGCGTCAATTAACAATTTCTCTTTTTCAATAGATATACAAACATTTATAAATTTAATACAATACCGTAGTGTCATATTTAAGAGGTGAGTCACAAATTCCAAATATCCCTAGCGAAATAAAATCATGACTGTTAAGAAAAGAAGAGAGGCGAAATTTCTGTGTAATTATCAGAACGTAGAGTTCCTAAAGTTATAGTCATAGTAAATTTCTAAATATAAGAGGTACACTATTTTGGTAACTAACTGATTATATCATTATTTTTACACAAAAAAAATAAATAATTTCTCTTCGGTTTATTTTAAAATTATCAAAATAATGAACTACGAATGAAGATATGAATGCTAACAAAAGAAAAATTAATTTTCTTTTCACCAGCGCATACCCCATAAATTATTAGAAATGTTTGTAATTTTAAGTTTTTAATCATCATTTGACTAACATTAAAAAAAATCCCCAAAAAATCTTAAATGACAGTTAAGATACAGACTTCATAATCTGTAAAAAAAAGCCGGACAACTTGTGCGGTAGCTGTTTCACCAGTCATGTGTACAGGTCTACCCAACGCTTGTAGTGTCAACGGTGTATAAGGGAGAAAGATAGATACAAAGTAAGAATAAGTACTTGGAATGTTGGAACATTAACTGGTAGAAGTGGATAATTAGTAGAAGTATTGAAGAGGAGAAAAGTTAACATTTGTTGTGTGCAGGAAACTAAGTGGAAAGGAAAGAAATCGAGGGAAATAGGTGAGGATTATAAAATAATATACTCAGTAAAGTCTAGTACAAAGAATGGTGTAGGGATAATAATGGATGAGGGGATGAAAATTAAAGTAGTAGAAGTAGCTAGGAAAAGTGACAAAATTATGGTCGTAAAATTGATATCCGAAGAAAAAGTGCTAAATGTAATAAGTGCCTATGCACCACAAGTGGGTGATGAAATAGACAAGGAAGTGTTTTGGAGAGAGATGGATGAGGTGATGAAAGGGGTACCTGGCAATGAGGATGCAGTGATAGGTGGAGATATGAATGAACATGTACGTAATGAGAAGAGAGGATATGAATGAATATGTACGTAATGAGAAGAGAGGATATGAAAGTGTACATGGGGGGTATGGTTTTAGTGGGAAGAATGAGGCTGGAGAAAGAATCCTGGATTTCACAATATCGTGTGATCTTGCTGTGGTTAATACTTATTTTAGAAAGAGTGAAGAACATTATATAACTTATAAAAGTGGGGGGAATAGATCACAGATTGATTATTTTATGTGGAAGAGAGAGAGTGTAAAGCGAGTAAAAGATTGTAAAGTTATACGAGGCGAGAGTGTTAACTACACAACATAGACTGATGGTAATGGAGTTGTGGTGTACCGGAAAGAGAATAATCAAAAATAGAAGAACACGGAAAGTAAATCGAAGATCCGGTGGTGGAAATTGAAAAAGGGTTTATAAAGACAGTAAAAGAGAGGACGGTGTGGAATGTCAAGGGAGACATAAATGATGTGTGGAATAGATTTGCTAGTTGTCTAAAGAATACTGCAAAGGAGATTGCTGTTGAGAGTAGGAGTAGAATGCCAGGAAACAAGGAAACCTAGTGGTGGGATGAGGACGTTCAAAAATCATAGAAAGTAAGAAACAGCAATTCAAAGATTGCAGAAGAGCAAAAGACTGGATGGAATATAAACGCTTGTGCAGTAAGTAAGGCGAAGTTTAAGAGGTATGATGAGTTGCATGATAGGCTAGGATCAAAGGAAGGCGAGAAAGAAATCTATAGACTTGCAAAGGTAAGACAGAAAAGGTCTAAAGATTATCATTATATAAAGTATATAAAAAGTATTGATAATAAGGTACTCTTGAGTGATGATGATGTGAAAAAAAGGTGGAAAGAGTATTTTGAAAAATTACTGAATGAGGAGTACCCAAAAGAGACATTAGAGGATATCTCGTGAAATGAGGGTCTAGTAGATTTAATTAGTGAGAAATAGGTATGGGAGACGGGACATCAATGAAAAACAATAAAGCAGTAGCACCAGATGAAGTATGGAAAATATTAGGCGGTGGTGGCATAAGGTGGTTAAAGCAACTTGTAATAAAATCTTATTAGAAGGGAAAATTCCAAATGAATGGAGAAATAGTATTGTGGTCCAATATCTAAAGGTAAAGGTGACATACAGGAGTGTGGAAATTATAGAGGCATAAAGCTTATGATAGTAAGAAAATTTGGGAAAAGGTAATAGATAAGAGAATAAGAAATGAGGCATCGGTATCTAAAAACCAGTTTGGATTTATGCTTGGTAAGTCAACAATGGAACCATTATTTTGTGTGAGGCAACTAATAGAAAAGTTTAAGGAAAAGAAGAAAAAGCTGTGTAAGGTGTTTATAGATTTGGAGAAAGCGTATAATAGAGTACCGAGAGAGGTTTTAAAGTGGGCATTAATGAGAAAAGGAGTCCTGAAAAGGTACATTAATATATAGTAGAAGATATGTATGATGGCACTTGTACCAGGGTAAAAAGCGTACTAGTATCAGGTTTTCGGGTAAGAGTAGGAATGTACAAAGGTTCTGCTTTAAGTCCTTACTTATTCTCTATAATGATGGATGAAATTACTAGAGAAATACAAAGAGAGATGCCGTGGTGCATGTTGTATGCTAACGATATTGTGTTAATACAAGAAAATAGGGAGGAAATTAATCAAAGGCTAGAAGTGTGGAAATCAGCTCTTAAATAAAAGGGTTTAAGAATAAGTAGAAGTAAGACAGAGTATATAAAATACGAATATGACGAAGGAGAACACGAGGTAAGTGAAATGAGAAGGTCAGTGACAATAGGCGAGGATATGATAGGAGAGGTGAAGAGTTTTAAGTATTTAGGGTCAGTTGTGCAAAAGAGTAATGGTATTGACGAGGATGTAAGACACAGGTTTAAGTGCGGGTAGTTGAAGTGTAGAGAAGCGTCTGGTGTTTTATGCGATAAAAGAATTTCAATGAGGCTAAAAGGTAAATTCTACAAGACTGGAATGAGGTCAGCTATGATGTATGGTTCATAGTGTTGGGCGGTTGATAAGAAAGTAGAGCAGAGAATAAGTGTAGCAGAGATGAGAATGCTTAGTTGGATGAGTGGAGTGACTAGAGAAGATAGGATAAGGAACGAGCATATAAGATGAAGTAAAGGTGTTGCGTCAATCGTGGATAAGATGACAGAAAATAGACTTAGATTATTTAGTCATGTTATGAGGAGAGAAGAATCGGAAGCTGTAAGAGCAGTTGTAGAAATGAATGTTGATGGAAGAAGAGATAGAGGAAGACCAAAAAAGAGATGGAGGGATGCTATTGAATGCGATTTGAGGACAGCTGATGTGAGCGTAGAAGATGTGGGAGATCGTGTCAAGTGGAAGCTTAGGATAAGGGTGGCCGACCCCAAGTAGTTGGGATTAAGGCGAGGAAGAAGAAGAAGATCTTAGATTTCAAAATACTAAATTCTTATTATCGACTACAATAAAATCTTTTTTATCTATACCAAAGATGGCAATTAGTGTATATGGTTAAAAAAAAAAATTTCAAGGACCAAAATTAACCAAATATAGTCAATAAATTTATTAAAATTAAAAATAGGCATCATATGATTTAATTTCAATTTATAAGAACATATACTTTATTAAAAAAAAAAATTGCACCATTTTACTTGCATCAGCTTTTTGAAATTTAGTACTTTCCGTTATCTGATTAGTAAATAAAATTTTAATTACTTGTGGACAGTCAAGTTCATTTATAAAATTATATCACTCCTTTTAATGATATGATTGATTATTGTTTAACATTTAAATATACAAAAGACCTCTATAAAAATTAACTTAGCAATGCTAAAAACAAAATAACTTTTATGGAAGGTTATAACTATCTAGTTATTTGTCTTAAAATGCTTTTTCGAGATACATTTTTCTTACATTAATAGTATGAACTGTATCCACATTTACTACATTTTTCAAAACCTATGGATACAAAGTGTGTCATATAGAATAACTTATATTACTATAGTTGACATGGACATCTATATTTTTAATAATTCAAATTCAAGATTAAAAAAGTTTTAAGATCAAACACTTAATTGAAAAACTTAATTTTCTTATTAAAAATAATGTAGATAGTAAAATTATTTTTAAATTATTTCATTTTATTATACAAAAAGCTACATCTGTTAGAATAATATTGATAAAGTTTTATTATTATCTAATTCTGACTAGTTTACAACAATATAAAGGCCCATAGTTAAGAGGTAAAAATGGCACAACCATTTGACCCAACTTCAATTCTTTTTCAAATGAATACAACGAATTGAGCGGTTTAAAATAATTTTTTAAATCTCTAAAAAAAAAAGGAAAATTTTTAGACACAAATAAGTCTCAATTTAATTTAAAAATTACTTGACAATAATTTGATGATTAGTATCTTCCCATATTTGTTTTAAAGCCATCTTTACAACACCATCATTTTGTATTGGAGATAATGAACAAGTAGAATAAACTACAGTGCCTCCTACAGCTACATTTTTCAAGGCGTTACTAAAAATAATAAAATAATGTTTTTTTTTACTGTCTCTATAATTAGTATATAATTTTAATTATTCTAATATTCACACACATACAATTTATCTACAAAAATTTTAGATATCTTATTCCAATATATGTCATTATTATAAGTATATTGTTATATAATAATTTCTCAAAAAAAAAAAAATTCTAATTATCAAGTTTCAAGCTTTTGCAATGGGAACTAAGATATATAAATGGTTCAAAAGGTTTAAAATATTTAAATGAAGTATCTGTATTTGATTATAAATATACAACAGGTAGAGTATTTAAATATTTTATATTTGTACCTTAATTTAAAATACATTGACCAAATATCTTTTATAGGTAAATTTTGATTAATACCTTAAAATTGATGCTTGAAGTTCTGGTAATTGAAGCCGTTCTTTTGCTCTAGTAGGCTTAAATATATTATTTTCATTCACTTGTAAATTATGACGATCATTTGTACATGGCACATCTACTAGAATCTTCAAAATTAAAATGTATTTTACAAAATTATGAACAATGTGAAATTTAATTGATAACAATTAATTTCAAAGTATATTTTTTAATTAACTTAAATAATAGTACATACTTTATTATATATTTCTGGTTCATCAAATTCTGTAGCGTTTAATTGAGAAAACATCAGCCTAGTACCCCAACTTTTATAATCATAAATGTATTCAGACATTACCTTGTGCAATTTATTCAGTCTTGATTCCTGAACATCATTGCAAAGTAGGTTTTCTAAAAAATCAAATATTAATTAAAACTTTCTTTAGTAATTTAAACTTAATATATTATCTTTAAAGACTTAACTGAATCCATTGAAAAATAATTTACTTCCAAATATTATATTAATCATAAGATATAAAATATTTAAAAATAAGTTGAACAAAGTTTCGAAAAAATATATAATATTAATTTTTTATTTTACTTTTTTTTCATAAAATCTTTTTTTATATATTATTTAATTGTTCAAACATATTTTCACAATTTTATTAATCACTAAAAATTTAATAAATAAACATAAAAAGTATAACTTTCTTGAATACTACCAGGAAATAAAGTCTGTAGCATAACTAGAGCTTTTCCACCAGGAGCAGAACACATATCTAAAACTTTATCATTTGGTTGTAAATCTAAAGCTAATACTGGTAAAATAGAACCACCATCTAATAAATAGTAATCTGAAATGAGAAATAAAACTTTTAATAGTTAATTGCTTAGTTAAGTAAACATAAATTAATTATAATGCTCAAATGAAAAGATAAATTGAATAAACTAACTGCTGAATATTTTAATTACTATAAAAATTGAGCTAATTCATTAGCTTAATTTTATTATTCATACTTTTCAATAAAATCTGTTTAATTAAAATTCTGTGTTTCAAATGTACAACCCTCAAATATAGCCTTCATCCATAGTAGTAAAGTTATTTATGCGTAACTGTAACATAATGACTGACACCATGATAAAATTATAAGCAATGACATTGTTATAAGAAGTTAGCAAACCAACAATTTGCAGAGCTTAAATAAAAAAAATGTTCATTGTTTAAATGAAAAATATACATCTGAACAAAAAACTACCATGAAACTACATTTAACATTCAAACAAAAATACTGTAAACATTAAAATGATAATTGACAGCTACACACAATTCCCTTAAAATAAAAATGGAATAATTTATTTCTGTTTAAAATGTACATGTTTCTTATAAACATAACATCTAATTAATTAAAATTAACTTACTGCTGACTTTTGTTATACCAGTTTTAGGATGTGGAAATGGTGAAATGTCACCACGATCAAAAGTATAGACTTGTAAATATTGAGGAATAATTAATCGTTTATCTTCTTCGATTAAAATTATAGGAAAATCTGAGTCTTCTTTATAATATTGATAATGTTGTGACTCAGGTATCCAATCAGTCTTTCCGTGAACTTCAGTAGCAGGTACAAATTGATGTAGTCCACCAAGGTTGGTATGATTTTCTGGATCTATAATTCTGCTTTCATCACATTCAGCTTCTGCTAAACTATCTTGGAGAGAAGCTTTTTCCACATAAGACTTTTGTCTAAATAATAAATAAAATTTGTATAATAGAGATTTTATTTTTTTCTTTAATTTGGTATATTTAATTACAATACATTTCAGTTGAAGGACTCTTTTTAATATCATTACTTAATAACAATTTTTCCAGTTTCTTCTCCAATTCATTTATATTTTTAGATTTTCTTTTAATTATTTTACTTTGATTTTCAATCTTTTTATTCTCCATTTCAATAATATTCTTAATATTTATTGCTCCCATCCACTTTAAATATAATCATTACATAAAATCAATTTAACACATAAGTTTGAATCATATACCTCTAGATTTTGAGCAGTTATATCAGCATTACCAAAGTTATTTACAACAGCCATATATTTATGAGGTGATAATAAAGCTAAGCGCATAGACTTCCAACGTTTACCATAAACTGAACCATAAAAGTCGTCAAAATGTTCCAGAGCTTTATCTTTAGGATGAATTTTCTTTTTTAAAACTGACTAATAATAACATTTTTAATTTAAAGAATTTTCAATTTTAATCTATAAATAAATTATTTTATTGAATACTAACCCAATGTGTTTTTTTTGTTCTGAGTGGGATTTTTAACATAACGCTTTTACTCGATATTGAATAAGGACATAAAGATCTAAAGTTGTTGGAAAACATTTTAAAGGATTACACTCATATGAATATTATACTCATATGGAATAAATTAAATTCAAGGAATTAAATAATATTTTATTAAAAAAAAAAAATGTGTTGCACTGACATAATATTGATAGTATTATCATTTTATCAAAAATTGTTATCTTAATTTACATGTTGAATGTTTGTGTCATAATACAATGAGTCTTAGAAAAATTATAACTACAAAATAAAATATATTAATACTTTCTTCTTCTTAAAATATCTGGTTTCCAATTAATTGGATGACTTTCTTCAGTCTGAAAAAAATTGAATAAATAATAAATTATCAATTGAAAAATAGAAATATCTACACTCATCTTTCAACTTTTATAAAGCTAAAATGTAATTCTTGTTCCACACAAGGATATGTTTTCCACAAACATAAAATAAAAAAATTACCTACAATATTTTTTTTAGATAAAACTGACTGAAAGTAAACATAAGACACACACACATATATATAAATACTATATAATTATATACAAATATACTTTTTTTTCATTAAAAAAAAACAGCATTCATGTTTTTAAAAATACTTTGTGACCAAAAAGTATACAATTTTTTTATTAAATTAGCATATTTTGAAGTGTTTTGTATGGTAAATATCTTAATTCAAAGCCAGATTTTATTCAGTATTTTGTGTCACCTCCCACAAGATTTTTTTAATTACTTTCTTTTTGACCACCAAAAAATATTCCTATGAGTAACAAACTCTAAAGTTGGTATTCCTGTAAATATTTATGGATAAACCAGCTTGAATCAAAAAAATATGTTCAGTGGTAATATTTAAGACAAGTACTTTCAACATACTTTTCTTGAAAATACGATCACAAACCGAAGTTCTATAAAGGTGTAATAATCATAAATTTTTTTTTTTTCAATTTTTGATAATGCTTTAAAAAACCTACCTTCTATAAACCAACATCAATTAAAAGTAACACAATGTACTTTAATATGAAAAAAGTAAAACTATCCAAGATCATGATTTTTAGAAGTTATAGGGTTATACATATTAATTTTTGTGTATTTATCATTATAATCGATCCCCAGGTACATCTATTTGTAACAGATGGCTTTATCTTTCTAATGATATACATAGAATTAACCTGAGTCAAGTTGTAACTGAGTTACAATTATATTTATTTGTTATCAGATTTGTCATAGATTCTTGAGATTTGATGGTCATTATACCAAATTAAACATGGCAATATTTTCTACAGCCCTACATAGACACTTTGATAAGCTAATTAAAAAATAAAACACATCATAGAATATTTATATATTTTCAGCTTCATACTAAGCTAAAAGATGAACATAAAAAAACTATTAGATATTTTCAAATCCACCCAACAAAAAATTTTGAAAGAATAAATCATAGAATTGTTTTTATTTTGCAATCAATTGAGTGGTTTATGGTCACCTGTATTGCAAAATGTAAAGTTGTTTACAAAATACTTACTGCTGTATCATCTTCTTTGTACAGTTTTACAGTTTTATCACCATCAGCAGTAATTAATCTAGTACCACTGTGATCAAAAGCCATAGCAAAAACTCCAGCTTCACTGTCCATTGATCCTGGTTGTACTGGAGCCTACAATATAACACCAATTTAAAAATGCTTCATTTCTTAAACACAAAGATATTAAAAATAAACCTGTATTCTTTGAAAATTGTAGCCAGTTCTCCAGTCCCAAGCATACATTGTACCATTATTAGCTCCAGACATTAACACACCATCTGAATTAACAGCCATACAATTGACAATGGCATTATGTCCTGTAAGATTTTGAATAAATTTACCATCTGGACAAGTCCATTGCTTTATATTATCTGGACTAGCACTAGTAAACATGGATCTAATAAAAAACACAAACATAGAAAATTATTTATCAACATTGCAATACAATAGAAATTATTACTGTGACAAATTACAATTTAGGGTGTAAAACAAGAGACCGTACACTTTTCTTATGATTAGTAAGTGTCACCCGAGTCTTTCCAGCCATTAAATCCCATAATCTAATTGTGCAATCATGTGATCCAGTTAATACCTAGAATTTATTTTTAATATTTTTAATTATCTAATATTAAAGAAGCACAATAAAATTAACCAACTTGTGGTTCATATTCTTGGCAAATAACACTTGCTACAGTATTTGTATGTCCTGTCAATGTATGAACATTTGCTTTTGTACGCATATCCCAAACTCGAGCTGTTGAATCTCTTCCAGCAGTTAATAATACATCTATAGTTGGGTGAAGGGATAAACTGTAAATAGCACTTAAATGTCCATGATAATGCCGAACAACTTTATTATACTCCAAATCCCAACATTTCACTTGTTTATCTTCACCACAACTAAACAAATAAGGATGACGTGGACTAACTTCTAGGCCTCTAACTGTACTGACATGACCAGTCAATGAAATTTTAAGTTTTCCAGTAGCTAAATCCCAAACCTAAAAACATACGAACTTAGTATTATGTGGTGTATAAATCATAAATAGTTCTAATATAATAACAGTACACAGATTTTTTATTTACAGATCACTCACAAAGGAGCCTATGAAAGGAGAAAATAAAAGTGGAACACTCACAGATATGGAAGGATCCGAATGAAAGCTTATCATTTGAAAGTTATCTACCATGGCTGATACAGAAAACACTAAAAAGATTACAAAACGAAACTGGAAGAATAGCAGATAATACAATAAAATGGGGAATAAAGGAGGACAGAAAATATGAGTGCAATGGGGAGCATGATACAGACTATTTGTTGAATGTCCACTACAACTGAATATGTGTAAAATGAAAGACTTTTTGACTATAACTAATATTTCAGACAAGGAAATACAAATTGCTACTTACTGGGAATGAAATAAAATATGAAAACCAACTAGAGAAGAAAATCAAGAGTGTGATCAATTTTGTTGATAGCCTAAGAGAAGTTTGTGTAAATAGATTGACTTGCCTGCTTTTTTTTAAGGAATCAAAGATATAGGTAAATGTTACAAATGGCAGTAAAGCAATTGGAACGGACAACATGTTGTTCATCAACCAGGATAAGGTTTAAATAATAATTTTATCTAAATAAATTTATGTACAATTATTTTAATTTTTTATTATACAAATGGAAAATACAGAAATTAGAAGATAATTTTAAGCATAAGAAAAATTCCTAGTTTTAAGTATTGGTGTAATTGAACCAAGCTTAAGCATAGAGGGAAATACATATACCTGTATAATTTGACATAATTTAGTTATTTTATTTCAATAGTAATTTATTAACTTACTTTGATTACTCTATCACCTGCTCCAGTAGCAAACCATTCATTTCCTGGCTCAACAGTAACACACCGTACCCAACCTAAATGACCTGAAATAACTCTGTATAATTTCCAAGGTGGATGCCATTTAGGTTTTGGCATAATATGGTTCATAAGTCGATTAGCAGCAGCTATGTTTTGAGTGCTTGGACTAGATAAGACCATACTAGTTTCAATGTTTGTATTAGACTTCTCTGGATTATCAACTATATTTAAGTTTCAGATCACAATAATTGAACATAAAACATCTATTGTAAAATACTATTAAAATGTATAAAATCTTACTTATAGCTAATGGTAAATTATTCTTTAGTGGATCCTTGTCAAATTTAGGTTGACTAGGTTGTGATTTTTTCATATTGATTTTACTCAGTTCTACTTTATCAAAAACAAGTCCATAGTTGTCTCTAGCTTTAATAAGCTTTTTTATTCTTTCTCTGTAAAATTTGACTTAATAAATAGATGTTTTAAAATATAAAATATACAATAAAATAGTAGTAATAGAGGTTAATCTCCTAAGAGATCATTCCTCTTCAATTTAAATTTACTCAGTTAAAACTAAAAATTGAATACTTAATGTATATTCATATACAAAAGTATAAGTAAAATAAGACTAATAATAAACAGTTTATTTTAAACATTAAATGAACTATAATAAAATACTAACGCTTCTTCATCAATGGGTGGTAACATTCCTTGGCACGATAAAAACATGTCATGCGTTCTCTTTAGAGAACGAAATACAAGTGTATGAACGGAATGTCTCTGAACATCCTTAAAAATTATAAAAACATTAATTAATTATCTAAAATTAATAGAATGACATTTACCTCAGAAAAATTCATTCCATTAACATGACTTCTGGCTGACATTATTAAATATCTACAATTAACTAAAATGTTTAAATATAAATCATAATTGATTATTTCATAAGTTTAAAATTTATAAATATGCTTTAGACTTTACTTAGTACAGTAAGTATTTTGATTATTTCATAACGTTGTCTACGAGGGTTAAACAAAATAAATTAAATGTTAGCTACGATAAGATACCTAGGTCATAAATTATATCTATATTTTATAATCTCTTTGAAACTATGAAATGTGATTATAGGGACTAAAATGTCTATAGACATTTTTTACTATTCGTTATAAAACCCTGGTTATACTTAACCGGTTTATTTTTTTGAATTACTATTATTGTCTATATAAAATCTAAGTTATAAAAAATTCCTCCTACGTGGCCTAAATAATATTCTTAATAACCGTGTAAAATGTTGAATATTTTATGATACTGTTATTAATTGTATCATAATTTGATATTATCATATCCTATAAATATTGTAACATTTTATTAATTCATTGTTTTGTGGTATTTTGAATTAACTATTATAGTTTTTATCAATTTTTTGAAGGGGTCCTTAAAATTTAGTAACAAAAAAAGTCGTCTATGGATAGTAGATTAAATGTATACAAGTTAGATGAATTAAAATTTTTAAAGAAAAAAAAATATGCTTGATAACAATTAAAAAACAAGTAGTACTAAACAAAATTAAACAAACTAAATAATTTCAAATGAAAAAAATACACTATTAGTTTTTTTCCAAATTACGTTATAAAAAATAGCACTATTATAAATATTATTTTGCTACTACTATTAACAAAACAGTAAAATTATAAATATTCTAATAAAAATAAACTTTGTATCAAATAAAAATAATAAAGTGTTCGAGTATTAATATAATACGATTATATAAATGGTTCAAATTATTAATATTAAAATAATTCTGACTAAAAATCTTCTCCCTCTTCGGCTTCACCGTCGACCGAGTCCATACCTACTTCCTCATAATCCTTTTCTAACGCTGCTAAATCTTCTCGGGCTTCGGAGAACTCGCCTTCTTCCATTCCTTCACCGACATACCAATGTACAAAGGCCCTTTTTGCGTACATGAGATCAAATTTATGATCCAAACGGGCCCAAGCTTCCGCGATGGCCGTTGTGTTAGACAACATGCAAACGGCTCTATGTACTTTTGCCAGGTCACCACCCGGTACCACAGTAGGTGGTTGATAGTTGATTCCTACTTTAAAGCCTGTCGGACACCAGTCCACAAATTGAATAGAGCGCTTAGTCTTGATGGCCGCTATTGCTGCATTGACGTCTTTAGGCACAACGTCTCCCCTATACAACATACAACACGCCATATACTTTCCGAGTCTGGGGTCACACTTGACCATCTGATTTGCTGGTTCAAAACAAGCATTGGTTATTTCACCAACAGATAGTTGCTCATGGTAAGCTTTCTCAGCCGAAATAACCGGCGCATAGGTGACTAACGGAAAGTGTATGCGAGGGTAAGGCACAAGATTGGTTTGAAATTCAGTAAGATCCACGTTGAGGGCACCGTCGAATCGCAATGACGCTGTTATGGACGATACGATTTGGCCTATCAATCTGTTTAGGTTAGTATACGTAGGACGTTCGATGTCGAGGTTTCGGCGGCAAATGTCATAGATGGCTTCGTTATCTACCATAAACGCACAATCCGAATGTTCTAACGTAGTGTGTGTGGTTAGAATAGAGTTGTATGGTTCCACTACCGCCGTAGACACCTAAATTCACAACATAAATGTATAGTTAAATTTCTAGTAATTGGTACTAAACCAATAAAATACCTGTGGAGCAGGATAAATGGCGAATTCAAGTTTACTCTTTTTTCCATAGTCGACACTCAAGCGTTCCATAAGCAAAGACGCAAATCCAGAACCGGTGCCACCTCCAAATGAGTGGAATATCAAAAATCCTTGCAGGCCAGTGCACTGATCGGCTAGCTTTCGGATCCTATCCAGTACAACGTCTACGATTTCTTTTCCGATTGTGTAATGACCTCGCGCATAATTATTTGCAGCATCTTCCTTACCAGTGATTAACTGTTCCGGGTGGAATAGTTGCCGATAGGTTCCGGTTCGCACTTCATCTGCCATATGGGTAAAGGGCAAAATTAATTATGATTTTAAATGCCAGAACAAATATTATTTGCTAAATTACCAACGACAGTCGATTCTAAATCGATAAACACAGCTCTCGGCACGTGTTTTCCAGAGCCTGTTTCACTGAAAAATGTGTTAAAGCTGTCATCGCCACTGCCTACAGACTTATCGGATGGCATTTGACCATCTGGTTGAATGCCATGCTCTAAGCAGTATAGTTCCCAGCAAGAGTTACCAATCTGGACTCCAGCCTGACCAACGTGCACGGAAATACATTCGCGCTGGAAAAATTTATGACCGTGTTAAACAATAATATCTTAAATTAAAAACACGTAAGAATACTGGCTTATCTAGGAGAGGTAGAATCAATGCTCCTTTAATTGATTGTACTATTTAATAAAAAAAACTAAAATTTAGCTGTACATTAGCAGGCCCGGATTAAAAGGATCCAGGGTAAGAAGAACCTCAGGGCGCACGGATTTTAAGAGTCTATTTAGGTAGAGTGACCTAAACGTTGAAACATGAGATATATATTATTTTGTTATAATATTTTTTAATTTGAAATTTTAAAAATGTCTGTCAATCAGGTTGAATTTTACTATTTAAAATGCGGTTTATTGTTTTATTAGTATTTATTAAGTTAGTATTATACAGAGCGATTTTTTTAGTTACTCGATTAAAATAATAATTATGCTAAAAAATGGTTCGTTTTTTTATACTTTTCAATATATTAGTGATTAATTACCTTTTTAATTTGTCTCTAATACTACATTAGGGAGTCAACTTAATTTTTTTAAATGACAGTATATATTTTCAACTAACTTATATAATAAAAAATGATATAATTTAGAAAATGACTAGTCGATAACAACTTTTGAACTGTTACTTTGGAAGTTATTCATATTTTTATAATTAGACGAAAGGAGAGGTGGGATCGAGAAATAACTAATGATAAATATTATCATATGCGCGCCTCATGTCCAGTATATATTTCAAAATGTTAATAACTTCTGAAATAATGAGTCAAAAGTTGTTATCAATCAGTTTTTTTTAATTAGATGATTTTTTATTTTTTAATTATAATGTAAATTAGTTTAAGCTTGTTAAATATTTATGTTGCTATTTAAAAAAAATAAGTTGACACCATTATGAAGTTTAAGGAATTAATTAAGAAAGTAATTAATAACTTCTAAATCGAGAAATGTATAAAACTATAAAATATTTAAATATGACAAATAGTTGTCTTACAAAAGTTATTATTGTAAGAGAAATCTATCGGCTAACGTTGAAAATATCATCTTGTATGTCTATTGAGTAATTAATCCGTGATTAATTACTGAAAAATTTATTTATTTATTTTTTAATTATTAATAATTAAACATTTTATACAAAAATATTTTACATATAATAAAGGAATATAAGTAGTTGTAAGTAATTACACTCCAAAAATACATGTCAATTATATTATATAATATTTCGTTTTCATAGCTAAAATAGATTTTACAAAGATATATTAATTAATTACTTTATTAAAATAAGCGGGAACTATCCACTAATATTATTAGAAGAGGACTAGTGGTCTAGCCTCCTACTATATAAATGAGCTGTAAAAGACTCCTGGAGCCCATATAGGCCTTTGTCTGGCTTGATAACGGTAAAAAATAATTCTTGGTTACAAAAACCTAATACAGTGGGGACTATTTTAGATTAAAGTCACTAAAGTACTTTGATATGATTGTTCTTTGAAAAAGTTTGATTATTCTAACGATCGATAGTTGACTATAATTCCAGTACGAATTAAATTTCAAATTATAATAAACTATTGGTAGCTAGAACATATATTTTTCACGAAGAGAAAAACCCTTAAAGTTCACTCAACAAAAATAAACTTATTAAAGTTTATTTTTGTTCATCAAAATATTAAAAAATTTCCTAAAAATATTTATATTTAACAATACTTATACATCATTTATTATTTTTTGATGAGACATTAATTTTTAAATAGGGGAACTACCTCTAGGTTTTCTATGTTAAGGGGCTAGTTAAGTATAGAATACAAAAATCAGTAGTAATTTACAAAAAAATATATTTTGCGTAACTAGGAAGTTGTTTACACATAGAAAATAAATTGTGATGACAATTTTTTTTAACTAGTAGAATATTATAAGCGTATGGGGGGAATAAAACAATGCGATGGAAAAAGTCCCCATTTAATTCAGATTTATGAAAATATTCCATTGCACAATTTTCAAACTACTGCTATAATAAGTAATATATAGCTATAGTAATAAGAATTACTTTATGATATAATACAACTTATATCATAAGTTGTATTATGTTTAACAATATTTTATGTTTATTGGTATCAAATATGTTTGTTTGTTTTTTTATTTGGTTTTGACAAATATTTTTATTTTAAACCTTATAATTATGACTTGCTTTTAACTCATATTTATATAGAGATAGTCTTCGTATGTTGAGTAGCACAAGATAGAATTTATTTATTTTATTAACATAGAATACTGTAAACTATCACAAATATTTTTAAGATTCAAAATTGTATTAAAAAAATTTAGAACATAAAGTTTTTTTTTTTGTATTAATAACAATATTTTATCAAGGCAAACTAATTTTTCTTAAATTGAATAATATAAATGCATACACACAATCGCAATTTAAAATATACTTACCATTTTGAATTATTTTAATGACAATCGCCGATTGGAAAAAGTTACTTGAAGGTAAAAAATAAAATTATTAATTTATAAGTAGTGATTGTGCAAATATGCTGAGGTGTGAATGATGTGTATTTAACTAGTTAATGATATCTATCATGTGTCGATCGAATCAACGACTATTTACGCAACCGGGCTATCCAGTTAGATGACACCCAAAATAACTAGGAAGTATTGGGGATTATAATATAATCTCCGATAATATCTGTGCAATAACAAAATTATTAGATTGATAAGAAACATTTAATCATAGCACCAATATAATTTAATAAGTTTATTATGTAAGAGTATCATTTTAATGTTTATTTATCATTCGATACTTTTATTTTTGTCAATATTGAATCCAATTTGTATAAATACAGTTATTTTATCATATAATATATAAATGTAACATAATATAGAATAATATAATTTAAGTAATAAAATATTTACTTGATAAAAATTACGTTCATCAAATATCTTCACTAAAACATCCATAGTTTCATTTGGAATCTTGGGTTAATCTAAATCTGAAAATTGATATAAACCAATAATTTGCTCAAGATCTTTTTTATGGATATTTACTATATAGTATGCATTATGCACTATTAAAAACCCTTTTCATTAATTTAATATATTGTACATTTTCTGTATTAACACATTATTCCAGAATACCCAAAAAATGAAACTGAATGCTTTAACATATATAATATCTAACATCCATCTTAAAGACAGAAACACAAATGAAATATTTAAGGTAACTTCAACTTATTAATTTATCGTAATCATTTTGTAAAATACCATTAAAAACATATATCATATACAATATTATTTAAATATAATATATAATTTTAGCAATACTCTCGGTCAGTATACATAGACCTCAAAAAATTATAAAAGTGTTTAAACATTAAAAGTAGGAAATACATTTATACATATTTAGTAATTTTTGCTACTTTGAAGATAGGAATATAATACCCCTGTGATTTTTTTTTTTTTAGAGTTAACACTAATAACATTTTTCTCATCACTATGTATTTTTGGAATTTATGAGTTAAAAAAACCATCAAGGTAATAAAATTTTTGCTTTTAGTAGGAATTTTGGTAAATACAGACCTAAAAAAAAACTATTTACAATTCAATATCATTGATTTTATTTTTATACTATAACATAAACTATTAGATGTGGTTGCACAAAAATTAAAAAATATAAACAAGACACTTCAAACATTTTTTCAAAAAGTATATACTTATTAAATTAAAATTATTCATTTTTCTTTGCTTGCTGTTTCTGTTCATCATATAATTCATTCATAAGTTTTTCGTTCTCTTTCAATCTACCTTTTACATGTAAAGGTTTAATAACATATCGTACTACTACCATATAACCAAACCATGATAAGCCAACAAATGCTAATATTCTATTAAAGTTTGTTGCCAGTGGACCACCAGGTCGAAGAGCTGGTTTTTGAGCTTGCATTATTTCTAAAAAAAATTATATTTTTTTAAATATATGAATGAGTATAGAATTATTAATAGTTATTATAACACCAATTATATTATTAATAAATAAATTACTGATAGTTTGGACTCTTAAAGTGACAAAAATGCAGAGAAGAATATTTTTTCTATATTATTTTGATTGCATTATTCATATAATTACATACATTATGATGAAATCTTAAAGGTAATATTCTCTGACCGTCATTAGAGTTTGGTGGTCAATTTTTTTGAGTTCCCTCTCAATTTAAGCCCTGATAATAGTAAAGCTACTATTCGATTGAGCTAATCTAATGCCTAACAAACAAAACAATTTATGACTAAACATTAAGTTTCACTAACAAGTTTACAAAGATTTATCGCATAGTATGTTTTGTTGTAGAAATTCTGAGTAATTATTCTTTAATATACATAATTGGTAAGACACTAGTTTTCTGAGAATTTATTGTGAATTTTAAATTTTTGTAAAAAGAAAAAATATTTATTTCATAACACTCTAAAATAAAATGTAGTTAAATAATTTTTTTTTCAACCCTTTAGGGTTAAAAATTAATATGCTGTGTAATTAAATGCTTATCATAATACTTTTAATATAACTTATAAATTCTACTTAAATAAAATATTCTAAATGTTTTAATATTTTCCAGTTTGTGTATTGAAAAAATGAGTTGTCTCATTTTATCCTCTATACTCAATTTACCCAGTTTTTTCCTTCATTTTCATTTATAAAATTTAATCCTTAAATGTATCTTATACAGGTATCAACTCTATTTTTTATAAATTAAGGGGTAAATATGAAAAATACTTTATGTAAAAATATGGAAATACATATGTAACTAACAAAAGCCTAAAACAGAAAATTCACAACAAAATTATTATTTTAAGAGAAATAGAGTGATTAGTACTAAAAGAATCACTCTGTATACCTTTTAACAAGTACTTCAAGTAATAAAAATAGAATTAATATGAGTAACGAGGTTGATATATATAATGTTGTAGATACAGTAGACAGTTTTTATAGGTAAATAATACTATCGTTTTAAGCCAGAAAGTGGTATCTCTAATTTTTAGTAAAAATGATTTTATTGAATGGTATAGTGATTTTCTAAGAATTTTTAAAGTTAAAATGTCCTAATCCTTCTTTGTTAATGTATAAAATATATTTTTTTTAAAGTTAATATTATGATATATTACCAAAATTAGTGATACTCTTTTGTAAATCAAAATAACAGAATATAAATAATCAAGTGTGTTTCTTGATAGATCTGTACATTTTTAACATTATTTACTACACAAATACATTGTTTAATAATTATATACATTATCTCGAGAAAATTAAAATAAAGGATCACAAACCTTAGTATCACTTGAAGATCTTTCAGAATCAAGAGATTCGAAGAACGGCTTCCAAATGTAAACACCGGCAATGATTCCTACTGCCGATGCTAAAATTAATTTAGGCCAAGATATTCCTCGTTGCCTCAAAATGTATTTACGCATTACTTCAAAAATTTGATAGTGTTTTATTGTTTTTAAGTAAATTATTTCTATTTACATATTAAATATAATTAATATAAATGTACTTAGTTTAATATTTATATAATTAAATGATAAATAGAATGAATTTTATATCAATAAAATAGTACCTACGGATATAACCACGGTTAACCATATGGTTTGCAATAGTGTTTGGCTATGATAACACGATTGCCGCAGCAGCTGTTATTAAATTGAATTGATTATCATACAATTTTTTTTTATGTTTGGGTTAGGGGTTCCCTAATCTGACAAGAATCTTATATTTTTTAATGAAAACAAATCGATACACACGATTCCGGTTGGAATCTGTACGGCAGTGGTGGCAGATAGTAATAATCTGTTAGGTAGGGGGGATATGATGGACAACAAAGAGAATTGACGACCACGACTTTAAGTCAGTGGGTTCCCAGTGTTTTTTAATCTCTTATTATAGGTAGCCGACGATGCCTAGGTGCCGGTCCGCTGTTAGTCAAATGCGTTCGCCGTTCAAGGTCACTGGCTCGCGGTGTGGCTAAGGTTAAGTGTTCACGCACACACATGGACATGATGTCATAGTGACATCACTCACGTAACCAGTTGTAGTTGGGTTGTTTGCGCGCGCGTATTCCTTACGCCCGTTGACGTCGTTCGGTACATAATATTATTATATTTTTATATAATTATATACATTTTTTATATTTTGGCTGGGCAATATTTTTATATATAATATTAAATATTATATAATACAAAATACATATCGCCAATGATAATACGATATTTGAAAGTTTTTGAACAAGAGTCGATAGCAGCTGTTGTTTCACGGAGTTGCCGGTTTATTCCCCCGCTGTTTTTTTGTCGACGGGCCAGTTTGTGCGTGATAACGGCTTAACTCTGCTGTTTGGTGCGGGAACCTCCTCATTGTCATCTATCCAGACACCTGTTGATTGGAAAGGCGCGTCACGAGCTCACCCGAACATAAGTTTCCACGCTCGGCTAGTGGCGATTGCGGGACGGCCCTGTTACGTTTCTTGTTATCGTGGACAACCCATATTGGAGATCGGTTTACCACATCCTGGCAGTTAGAATAGTAAGAATATTATTTTTAAATATTTACCGTTAAAAAAAAGGCCTCTTTGTTATAAATGTAATATAAAATTTAACTACGCGTGCCGTTAGGTGAGATTAGTTTGAATGAAATACCGCATTACCGTTTATCTGAATTTCTTATCAGCTGTTTTTGTTTTTCAATCGTCAATACGACGCAAATTAACGCCAACGCCGCCGCCACCGCCGATTAAACATGTCCGGGCGCTTTGTACTTTCAATTCCTCATGTATCAACAATTCCCTACACCGGTTATTAAGCTTAACTGAACAACTTGTACACAATCATAAATTTCTATCCAAAACCGGCTTTCGGAAAGGAAAGGCTTATAGTTTTTCTACATATTTATTTGATCGATAAAAATTTCCACTTTAGGTGAATAACGATCATCACTATGTTTATTTATTATCAATAACCTGTTATATTTTAAATAACCGACATTTTCAACATGAATAATTCACTCTTGGAAATTAAAAGTTAAATTTAAAAAACAAAGTATTATTTGAGTTCAGGCTAGGATCTAAAAGAGTTTTGTAAGTTGAAGGTATTTAAAACCAAGACCTTTTTTTAGGAAAAAAAATTCTAATCTTGAGGCATCAATTACTCCTCTCCGAGACATAAAAAAAATAATCGACTTCTATGAAGTCTTTAATAGTTACATTGTCTTTAAAAAATGTCACTTATAGACAAATTTGTCTATGAGAGCTATTTCATAATATAGGATAATAAATCTGATGGGATGCTTCATTACCAAATTGCTTTATCTTCCTCTCGCCCCAAAAATTAAATTTATGGGTGTTACAAATGTTTATATGGGGGTTGAAGCTCTCACAGTTCCCCTATGAACTACGATAATGTTGAATGTATCAGTAATCTTAATAAGGAAAACAAATAAATAAACTTGATTTTCGGGTTACTGTTTTAAAAAAATGTTTAACTACCTAGATGTTTAATTTAAATTGCGTTTATGATTTCATATACTAAATGACTATGGAATTTATACATCTATCCGTACAGTTTTTATTTGGGGGCGCATATAACAAAATCAAAAGTACTTTAATTTTTAGATTTTTTCAGTAGTATTTTTAACATTTATTAAACAATAATACTTTTTTCTTAAATTGTATTATTTCTAAAAACAATCAAAATAATTATGTACCATCTTGTTTATAGATTATTTAACTTTTTTTAAAGAACATAATTGTTTGAAAATGGTAGAAATTTCATAAATATCAGAAACTTATCAATTTTTTTTAAAGGTATTATTTATTCTCTAAAATAATATACTTAGTTGAATATTCATGCATATTACATAAAATATAGATAATAAGGAAATTGCACTTGAGGTCTTAATTTTTCAATGTTAAGTGTGCAGAAATTTATTTTTGTAACACATTTGTACAAATATAATACTGGTATAAGTCAAAAAATATTTTATAGATTGTTGACACAAGCATTTTAATTTATGAAAAAAAATAGCCCAAGTAAATATTATTACTCTTATATGTCATAGATTTTAACATTTTTGTTTTATTAACTCAAACATTTTAAATTAAAATACAACATCACTTAAAGAAAAATGAATTTCTTTCTTTTAAAAATCGAATTTAAATTCCAACCACACCGAAATTATGCATTCAATATAACTAGGTTTTAATGTTTTACTAAAATATTTTAAATACTACTTTAAGAAAATAACGCTTAAGCACATTTTGCCAATCTTCATGACCTCATCAATGTGTATCAAGTAACCTTGGCATAAACACATCAGTACATTTCATGAAATGATAATTCAAATTTGGATTAACATAACTCAGGTTATTTATTTCCACGATATGAGCTATAATTATCATTTCTTACCAGAAATATTAGTTAGATTATAAAAACAATCATATGATAATAAGGACTATTGTTTAAACAAAATTTCATTATATTCAAAATTTATGTGTAAAAAAAAATCTAATTAAAAATATGAAAATTTCAGCAATTTAAATTATGATAAAAATTACTTATTCATTTTGAATAAGATATTTACTAGAAATATATCAAGCTCGTTTAGATTTTATCCTTATAATGACTTCTAGTTGTAGGATTTGATAATAAATTATCTCGATTTCAAATAATATATTCCAGACCTTATTCAATCTAGTTGAAAAAGTTAGCTTTTTTTATATCAAACAATAATAGAGTAAAAAAAAATTGAATTTAAAAGTGTTAATGATGTATTTTTTGTATGGTGCGTGTTATATGATTTCAATACAACTTTATACATGTTCAGTGAAACATAAGTATTAAGTTATTCCTTAACAAGTCGTGTATATTAAAAAATATGTTCAAGTATAAAAATTATATAATGCGCATCAATTAATTTTCAAGGTTGTTGGTATCATTATTTTATTATTATTATTATAAATTTATTTAATATTTATAAATAAAATAAATATTTTGGTGACATTCAAAAGTAGCTTTTAATTTCTTGTTAAATATAATAAACATATTGTTTTTAGTATACATAGTTTTGAGAATTTTTAAATTTATTTTTCAGATATTAAAAAAAAATCATTAGTGCTTAAGATTTATTCTCATTAATACTAATATTTCTAACTTTTGTAATCGTCTCGATCGACAAAAGATCCTTTTTTTAATTATGATTTTCAAATTAATTTAATATGTAGTCAATTAAATGGCTTTGACATTTCATACAAGAAAAATATAGATGCGTTTTCTTTATTGAAATGAACATCTGTAGCAATCAGAAGTTATCCTGGTTGGTACAGATAAATATTGGGGCAATGTGAAATGAATTTTACCGACTTTTGGCGATAAATTGGCTAACTTAAATATTATAATGAATAAAAAAATTCAGAATTTATTCTAAGCCATTAGAACTATATTATTAATAATGTTGATGGACGTATGAGGGAGTGACACTCACTATGAATTCATTCCTGGTACTATCGCCCAACGAAACCAACCACCCTTTTTACTTGTTTATTGTTAAAGTTTGTGTGAAATCATATTATATTGCTTTAGAGTTGGTAGTTCTAAATTTCATGAAAGGTATAAGAGTTTTCAATGATTTTTAAATTAATTTCCTCCATATTCAATCATACAAGAAACTATCTTTTACTTTGTGTAATTCATAGTATAAATGAAAATATTTAAAATAAAATAGTTCATTATTTTGCTACAATTGTTTTGGTAATTTGTTTGATTTTTGTAGATAATAGTCGTCGCTTGTAAGAAATAAAATATAATCTTTACACATAAAAACAATTTGAATTATACATATTGTTACCATTCTATAATGATTACACAATTAAGTAAAATGACCTTTATTGACCAAGAAAATTATTTTTGGAAGAGTCCACCGTGTTATTTAAGAAAGAAAAGCATTGTTATAGTGAATTTTTTTCTAATAAAACATAGGCTCACACTTAAATTATAAGTTATTTAAGTTGTAGCGGTATTTACTACTAAAATTTTAAATCGAATACAAAATTATAATATACCTAATATTAACACACAATTTTTATAAATATAAATAATTTCAACTTAAAATAGATGTATTATTTTTTTCATAACAGTTATCAGTTAAATTATGATGTAGGAGTAATTAAAAATTTTAGTAATAAATTTATAGCTATGAAAAATAGTTATTTTAGTATTTAATCGAATAATAATTTAAGATAACGTATTTTATAATACTCCAATTAATTTCGGTGTTGATTATTGTGTTTCACTAACGATTGACCAATTTTTTGTAATTTCAAAATGAATATTTTCGGCAAAGCTATTAAGTATTATTGTCCTTGATTGCTACATTGCACCATTAAGTATAAACTCCCTACGGTAGTAACTCGGCTTAAAAACTAGCTGCTTACAAAATTAAGGTTGCTACATTGTGGTTTCTATAAAAAATACCATAGATACTAATGATTCGTCGAATTTTATTATTTAAAACGTCTATTTTCTTTTATATGATTACTAAATGAATTTTGATGAAACTAAAAAATCATGATTCATCATCTAACTGTTGCGTAGTCAAGATTTTTACTAGGGATCTAAGGATCGCTTTTTTAGCTTATCACATCCTCTTACTAGTGCCAAAGTCAATGTATAGTAATAATTAACCCATAGGAAGCCATAAGCTCTTTACTCTTCTCCCCTTTGCTACGCCACTGTTATCTAATTACATACACGAGTACTTAAGATTTGTAACAATTACAACAATTTAAGGATTTCGCTTTACCAGTTAATAGAAGACAAAATCTTTGGGTTATCGACGAAACCAATAATAAGATTTTACTTAATACGTTCTCGTTGTTTACTTTTTTATATTTACTGTATCTCAAATTTTATTTTTATAATGTACTTATATATCTGTTAGACGAAGGTTAACATGAAAACTAATGTTACAATCGACTTTAATTTTTGGATCTGGAATGAGGGGCCTCTACATGGTTTGATGCAATATTTATTTCGGTGATTGATATTGGGAAACCGCTCAACCTAGAGGGATTTGGCCATAATTATTGTTTTGAGTTGTCTAGTTCACTCTATTATAATTTACATGTAATTGATAGCGTATGAATTACATTTTAGGGTTTTCTAATTGATAGAGTAAATTAAAAACCGCTCTCTTCAAATAGCATCGACAATTGAAATTATTTCGCGTTTTTCTACCAAACACTTCGAATGATGAAAAATAATGAAATACAATCGGCATGAAAACAATGCGGCATTATGTTAATATTGTACGAGGTAATGCTTTATTTTTATTATTGTTCAAATAGTTTAGAATCCAACAAGTATATGTTGCTTACACTTAATTATAATTTTATGCGACGCTAATACTGTAGGCGCGCGTCCTTGCCAATAAGCTGTAAGGAAACGACGACACAGTAACCATGACCGAGCTGAGTTGTTTTTTAACGGGTAGAAGAAATTTGAGCGTCTCCGAGTCGTAGTAGTCAAATAAGA